GAAAAATTGACTTTTTCATTTTGGTGCACAGTTCTATCAATTTTAGCACATATGTAGATTCCACCACCACAAGCAAGATGCCAACAGTATCATCAACCAAAAAAACTGCCTTATGCTATCCCTTCCCAGTCACATCTTTCTCCCATTCTAACTCCTGGCAACCACTCTACTACATGACTATAGTTTTATTTTTTATTTTTCCATTTTCATGTAAATAGAATCGTACAGTATAAAATCTTTTGGAGACTGGTTTATTTCACTCAGTGTAACATCTTTGAGATGAGTCCAAGTTGTTACACGTAGCACATAGTGCTGCTCAGTTCTCCTACATCTTTGCTTATTTCCTGTCACTTTGCTTATTTTCTGTTACTGAGAAAGGAGTGTCCATGTCTACAGCTGTCATTGTGAATCTGTCTAGTTCTCCTTTCAGTTCTGACAGTTTTCGCTTCATGTATTTTGAAACTCTTTTATTAGATGCATTCACATTTGTAATTATTATGTCTTCCTGGTGAAGTGGCCCTTTTATTGCTGTATAATGGTTCTCTTTATCACTAGTAATTTTCTTTGCTCTGAAGTCTTTCTTTTCTTTTCTTTTTAAATTGAAATATAATGGGCATACAATATCCTATTAGTTTCAGGTGTACATTATAGTGATTTGATATTTACATATAGAGTGTTCCAAAAAATGTATACGTACACTTTGAGTAATTATAAAAGCAGTGTTTATTAAAATACATTTTGTTTTGGAAATTGACCTATCAGCTGTTAAAGTGTGTATACATTTTTTGGTATACCTGTACGTTACAAAATGATCACCACAATGAGTTAGTCTTGGTCACCAACGTTATTACAATATTACTGACTGCATTCCCTTCCCCATGCTGTACATTATATCCCTATGACTTACTTATTTTATAACTGGAGTTTGTACCTCTTAATCCCCTTCACCTATTTCACTTATACCTCCATTCCACCCCGCTCTGGTAATCACCAATTTGTTTCCTGTATCTATGAATCTGTTTCTGTTTTAGTTTGTTTGTTTTGTTTTTATTTTTTATTTATTTTTAATATATTTTATTGATTTTTTACAGAGAGGAAGGGAGAGAGATAGAGAGTTAGAAACATCGATGGGAGAGAAACATCGATCAGCTGCCTCCTGCACATCTCCCACTGGGGATGTGCCCGCAACCCAGGTACATGCCCTTGACCGGAACCGAACCTGGGACCCCTCAGTCCGCAGGCCGACGCTCTATCCACTGAGCCAAACCGGTTTCGGCTGTTTTGTTTTTAACATTACACATGTAAGTGAAATCTTACGGTATTTGTTTCTCTCTGCCTGTAAAGTCTTTTTCTCATATTAAGCTATCCAGCTTTCCTTTGATTAGTATTTGCATGGTATATCTTTGTCCATCTTTTACTTTTAGCCTGCCTATATCATTATATTTAAACTGAGTTTCTTGTAGTTAGCATCTAATTAAGTCATTTTTATCCATCCTGATAATCTCTGTTTTAATTGATGTGTCATTAAACCACATATTGATATTGATATGCTTGGGTTTAGATCTACCATTTTATTGTTTGTTTACCATTTGCTCCTGTCTTATTTTGGAAAATTTGAACATTTTTCTAGAATTCCATTTTAATTTATCTGCTGATTTTTACTATATCTTTTGTTATATTTTTAAATGGATGCTCTAAAAACTACAGAACACATGTTTAACTTTTCACATTCTATTTAGAATCAATATTTTACCACTTCAAGTGGAGTGTAGAAACCTTGTATCATATAAGTTCCTTTATACTCCCTCCTTTGTATTGCAATTAATTGTCTTATGTTTTACATCCACTACATTGAAACCCCATCAGACAATGTTGAGAGTTTTGCTTTCAGCTGTCAAACATATTTAAAAGAATTCAAGAGGAGAAAAATAGGTTATTAAATGTACCCAGATATTTACCATTGTGATTGTCCTTCTTTCTTTCTTCCTGATGTTCCAAGTTTCCTTTTATATAATTTCCCTTTTAACTAAAAAATTTTCTTTCGCCAAAACCGGTTTGGCTCAGTGGATAGAGTGTCGGCGTGCGGACTGAAAGGTCCCAGGTTCGATTCCAGTCAAGGGCATGTACCTGGGTTGCGGGCATATCCCCAGTAGGAGATGTGCAGGAGGCAGCTGATCGATGTTTCTCTCTCATTGATGTTTCTAACTCTCTATCTCTCTCCCTTCCTCTCTGTAAAAAAATCAATAAAATATATTTTTTAAAAAAATTTTTCTTTCGTAGTTCTTTCAGAGCAGGTTTTCTGGCAATGAGTTCTCTTAGTTTTTCTTTATCTTGGAATTTCTTTACATCATCTTTATTTCTGAAGGATATGTTTGCTAAGTACGTAATCCAGGACCACAGCTACTCTGATTGGAGAAGTTTCTCCTCCCTCCGAGTTTCAGGCACCTATGGGTCCCTGTTGTCACAGCCACCACTGCAGGATTGCTTGGAGGCTGGGTCATGAGACAATGGAGAAGAGACTAAAACAGAAAAGAACAATTATTTCCCCCTCTCACCCTGAGCATCAAGGGGTCTCCTTTCCTGATCTTCAAGTCAGAACTAGGGAGACTCTTTGAGAGCTATCTCTGTTTATTCCCTAAATTCCAGATTTTGGCTGCCTTGAAACCAGGCCAGGGGACACCAGAGGAAACAAAAATGGTGAATTCACTAGTTCAGTGGCCTTCTTCCCTAATTTGCCTGCTAATATTTTCTCTTCAGACTCCTCAAGTAGTTGCTCTCTGCATTTTGTTCAGGTTGTATTATGGCATTCAGTGGGAGCAGTGTGCTTAGCAGTGGAATCAAAATTGTTTTGAAACTAAACAAATTTAAGTATTTCCCAATTAGTACAAAACAAAACTACTGATTTCTTTAGAGCAATTTTGCTTTATGCTTAAAATCCTCCTTTGCAATTTACATTATGACTAAACACTAGTTCTTTTTTTAATCACGTTTTATGATGCAGAGGAGAGAATTATTTATTGCCTAACTCCATTCCAGATGGGAGTATTGTGGGTGAAAGTACTCTAGTTTTAGAGAAATTCCTTGTGGAGAATTCTGGGAAATGTAGTCTTCTAAGTACCAAGCAAAAATACATGTGGGTCAGACAAAAAGGTATATTTTTAATGAGGATCACAAATTATCTCCTGATTTAAAAAAAAAAACATGGCTTCCTTTGATTTTACTTTAAGTGTAAAAAAGTCACTTACATAATTTAGGTGAGCCTTAGGGCAGATAAAACATTTCATCAATTGACTTGCTAATATAGCAATCGGTGTTTTTTTTAGACATCAGGCCACCTTTCACATGGCTTTTTTCACTACCATTTCCTATTCCTGCTACAAATGCTCTACATGTTTTCCCACAAAACATAATGTAATAATGGTCATCTGATAGAATTCAATTTAATTGAATAGCGGGGGGAAAGTAACCAATGCCAAAAAAAATTATAGGCCTTTATTGCAAAATTATAGGCATTGTTGTAGAGTGATTTACCACAAATCAGAGCTACAGAAAAAGATTTCACTTTGAGGTGGGCTCTCTCTGGAGCACGCCCACAACTTTCTTCCCTCTCAGGTGTACATCTTTACTTTTCTCTCCTAGAAACTCTAAGGGTTCCCATGAGATTTGCAACCGGGGGAGCAATCGGCAGTGGCAGCTCGCCCCAGGTTTACACCCTGATTCCGTTTCCAAGGCCTGCTTTCCTCTGACTTTTCAGTGAGCTAACAGCAGCCCTAAGGCGGCTCACTCTCTGTAACGTCTCTAGAGAGCCACAGTGATACCACCTAGTCTCTCTCCTGTTGCTTCTTCTATCCTAGACTTTTCAGTGAGCTGACAGCAGCCCTGCCTAGACTCGCTTCCCTCACTGTGACTTTTACTTCTCAGTGAATTCACTCAGCCCAGCGCGGCTCACTTCTTTCTTGTAACATTCCTAGAGTAAGAACAGAGTACCGCCTGGGCTCCCTCCTGCTGCTTCTTCTCCCCTACGACCTTCCTTTGTCTCACTGTCCTCAGCTTTAATAGACGTACTCTCAAAATCACCTGGACTCATACTGTGAGATCTTTCCTGCATGAAGTCAAAAACCCACCCAAGACTGGCCAGACCAAGAAAAATCCACTCCAAACCTGTTTTTTTTCCCTGCAACAAAACCGCGTTAAAGCACTAGCCAACCACTTCTGCAAGCGACACACTTAAGAGGCAGGCTCAGTGGGCACCAAAGCCCTGCCGAAGTCAGTCCTGCTCCGTGGGGAGGGACCTTGCACAGCTGATCCTCCATGGTGGTCGCGGCCAGTCCTTGCAGCTGACCAGCCTGGGGAGTAAATAACTTCCATCGATGTGCCAACAGCAATCAGGGTTCAACTACGTGATAGTGATGGAAGGCAGTGGGGAAAAATGTTTCACGAACATTTATTTTTAGGTTGTAATTGTTTCTCTTTCCACCTTTCCAATGAATCACCATCTTAACTTCAAAGAAAAAACATGTTCGTTTTCAGATATTTAAGATTCTTGCTATCATTTTTTGTAATAGTCCAAGTGCAGTTTGCATTCAATAACCCTGGTACTCAGAAATACTTGGTTTGGGGAGTGAAATATGTTCCTAACGGAATTCAGATCAAAATATTTATTTCATGTAAGCCAAACGTGTGCCAGGAAGCCAGATGGGTATCATCATCCCATGTTACAGAGCAGAAAGCTGAGGCCCAGAGAGGTTAAGGGACTCGCCCAGGGTCACACAGCCGCTTAGCGAACCAACGCACGTTCCGCGATGCCCCACCGCCCAGTACAGACTGGTGTGTAGGTGGCAGAGGACGCCGCTCTGCGTGCTCGCGTGTCCGCTCCCACGCCCTCTGGAGCAAGGGGCCAACTATCTCTTTAAGAAGGAAAGTGAAGACCAGCCGCTTACGCAGCTGCCGGCGAGCCGCCGACTGGCTCATCCCTTCCATCCACCTCACCCTCCCCGCCCCGCCCTCCCGGCAGCCCCAGCCCCGGCGAGCGCCCAGTTAGCCGCTTCCAGCAGGGGCTCCGGAGAGCAGCTCGGCAGCCCTGGCCGGGCAGCCGAGGCCATGGCAGCCTCCACAGGTGATGACAGGGTCTCCGGGGACCTCCGAGCCCACCCCCCAGCGGCGCCCGCCGCAGCCCGGGGTGCCCAGTGCGGGGTGGGGGGAGGGGAGGCGCGCACCGCCAGGAGGAGCGGGCCCGGCGCCCCGCAGGCAGCCCGCCCTCCAAGCTCTCCGGCCGCGGCGGCCCAGCTGTCGGCGGCCGGGGGCTCCCCTGCCTGGGGTCCCCGCCCGCGTTCACCTGCACCTGTCTGTCTGTTTTCCCCGCCGCCGCAGGTTGCTGATCGCGGCCGGGCAGCTGCAGCAGCGACTGCAGAGGCGCTGCGCCAAGCCGGGCCGGAGCGGTGCGAGCCCGCGCGGCCGCAGAGGGCGAGTGGACTCAGGTGAGGAGGCCGCGGCGACCCGGAGGGGCCCCTGCGCTGCAGCGCGGCGGGTGGCGGGCGGGGGCCGCTCGCTGCGGTAGAATCCGCAGAGGGCAGCGGCCGAGGAGGGGTTAACTGTGACTCACTCATACCCTCCCTTCCTTCCCCTACATCCTTCTAATTGCACCCCCACCACCGCCGCCACCGTGAAATTCACAACTAGAGGAGACTCATTGCCATAAGGAAGATGCCCCAGGTGGGCGATGAAGAGGGCGTTAGGGACTCCCCGCATCGCTGTTTGTCTTCCTCTCCCAGCATTTGGCAAACACTTCGCCTCTTTCCTCTTGGAGGAGGAGCAAGGCTCCCTGGGGGTGGAAGAAGGCTGGAACCCCACACCCAACCCAAGGTCAAGTACCAGTGACGGCCTCCCTCCCATATCCCCCTGAGAAGTATCCGGGCCCTGCAGTAGATCAGGAGAACATGCCCGTGACCTCTAACGCGGGAGGTCCCGGCCCCACTCTCCCTGGAGCCTCCTGGGGTGGGATGCTCCCTCCTTCCACTCCTCGGGCTCCCACTGGCCTGAGCAGCCCCGTATTCCCTCCCTCCGCCCTGCAGATGAGGGAGGCCTGGGTCCTCACTGCCTGTTTCCTCTGCTTTCTCTGCCCATCGGGTGGTGTGGGATGAGCTGGAGTTGCTCCCCAGAAGACGGTGGTCTCTGCAGGCAGGGTGGGGTAGGGAAAGTGCCAGCGGTTGGGGTCTGGCCCCTTAGCTTGCTAGTAGGCGACTAGTAGCCATTTTAAAATGCTCCAGGCGTGGGTGTCTGTCTGCTCATCTGTTCGATGCAGGAGTTGGATTAGATGGTCTGTACAATGTTAATATGCCACTCAAGCAGCTTTAATGTGGCAGGAGACCCGTCTCTTAAAGCAACCCAGGATTCAAACTCGAGTCTATGAAATAATTGGGGTTTCCTCAGTTGATCTCTCTCAACTCTGGACTTCTCAAGTGAAACCCTGACCTTGTGGGTCTCGTGGAACCGGAGGCACCAGGCAGTCCTCTGCTGGCATCCCTGTGCCGTCACTAGGGTGACCTTTGTCAAGTCACTTCCCTTCCCCAAGCTTCAGTTTCCTCATCTGTAAGTCGGGAAGAAGGGCACACGTCTCAAAGGGTTGATGTTGGGATTAAAGGAAACACTTAGAATTGGACCTGTGCCTGGCACATAGTAGGTTTTCAGAGACACGGGAGCTGGGAGATAGACTGAGGAAAGAGGAGTAGCTGCTTTTAGTCCTCTTCTCTCCGCCTGGTACCCCACCCGCCCCGCCCCGCCAGCCTCTTCTACATCCCTGCGGAGGTGTCCCTGCCAGGGGCTAATGATGCTGGAGTGTGCTGGGCTGCTGGGCTGAGGGCCTAGGAAGCCACATTCCCACTGCAAGGGCTATGACATCATTTTAGCAAAAGATGGTCCCAAAGAGGCATAGATAGCCCGGCCCTGGGTTTGGAAAACCTTGGCATCTGAGGGCAGAGTCGCTAAGGGAACAGAAGCATCAGAAGCTTGTGTGCCAGCAGGGGGTGGGGACCAAGCTTCCTGGTTTCAAGTGGACCCCCTGCTGCTCCCTTGTCCTCTTGGGAGTCTCTTACTAGGATCTCCCCTGAGACGAGGCAGTCACGTGTTTAGTGTCCAGATTTTCTATTCTTTATCTCCTTCCCTGCTGTAATTTCCAGGCTTGCACTTACCCTTTCTCTCTCCAGCCTATTCCACAGATACCTTCTGCCTCTTGATGGCATGATAAAGACAGCGCCCCAGGGCGTGGGGCAGGGACTTGGCTGCTGTACCCTTTGGGTCAAAAGAAGTTGTGGTGTCTCCACCTGCCTTCATCCTCCTGGCAGAGGCCCTGTCTTTCCTCTCTATGTCCTCAACCTCTGGTCTGTGGCTAGGCACAAAGTAGGTCTTCAGGACGATTGAGGAAATTATGTCCCTGAGCCAACGGGTTAGGGAGAAGTTTTGGGAATGTGTTGATGGTGTAGGTGAAGGCACTTTTAAGTACAGGGCATTGTGCAAGTTCCTGGTTGTCACTTCTGTTGTTAATACTGTTGTTATGCCATTGCCAGTGGCCAACAGCGGTTTTACCTTCTCAAGTCAGGTTTAAAGGGGCTAGCTGTGCCTGGGAGAGGGGTGTTGTTGGCAAACAGGTGGTGCTAAGATGAATATGAAGGGAAGAGGATTGGGAAGAGAGTGAGTCCAGCCACTTGCTATGTTTGTGGGGTAGAGGCAGATGAGCAGAATCAAGTGAGCCAAAATGGATGCACAGTAGAAAACCAGGAGACCCAGGTCTCAGGTCTCATTCCACCACCTCACTGGATGACCTTGGGCCAATCACACCTCCTCTCAAGATCTGGGTCTCCAGCTATAAAGTGGGAGGACTGGACTACATGATCCCTAAGGTTCTGACATTTTTAAGTGGATTTTGTTAAGTAAAAATGGGACTGTTATTGCTCTCAGTATCATTGATGGAGTGCCAGACCATTCCCTATCTCATGTAATTCTCATTAAAAAGCATACCCGTTTGAGAGAGGATGAGGCTGAGGCTTAGAGAGACTGACTTGCCTAAGATTGCACAGCTGGAAGGGGCAGAACTATTATCTGACACCAGGTCCGCCTGACTCGAAAGAGCACGCTCTTGCAAAAGTTTCACTGCCCCCCGTCGGACCTGCTGTCATCACTGTGCGTGTGTGTACGCTGCACGTGCGCACCGCGGTTTGGAGAAGGGAAAGGTATTTCCCTGAAGTAATTACTGCAGAGGACTTGCTGGGTGGAAACGTGCATAGATCGGTGCTGAAAAGCCTTCCTTCACTGTGAGCTCTGCTGTGCTGGTGGGTGGTGGGTGCCCTTTACCACGGAGAATGGCTCGGAATGAATGGCAATCACGACAGACAGGCTTCCTATGTGCTGTGTGGTTTACACAGGGGCACTCAGTTACTCCTCAGAAAATCCCGTTATGTGGGCGCCATAATTTTACCAATTTCACAAGTGAGAAAGTCAGGGCAGAGAGGCAAAGGGTCTTGCCCAGAGTTACACGGCGAATTTGTTGTGAAACCTGAGAAAGTTGAGCTGGAAGCGCGCTGTCCTGGGAGTCAAAGAGCTGCTTTCAGTCTGTGCCCTCTCATTGACTGAGCAGCTTTGGGTAAACCAGCTTCCCTCTGAATGTCGGTGCTCCCGTCCCACAAAAGGACTGGATGAATCTACTGGCTGTGAAAGACCTAAATGCCACCTTGTCCCAGAATAGGCGTGAAGGGGATTCCTTGTCCAGAGAAACATTAATCAGCATCTGTTATTTATTACCCGCGGGGTAAGTGCAGGGGATACAGGAAAGAGTAAGAGTTGATCTTTAGTTTTAAGAAGCTGACGGAAGAGACAAATATCTAAACGTGTAGGTATGGTAAACCGTCTAGGAACTGTGATAATCCTGATATGGGCTATGATGGGCCTGGGGGTGGGAGGGGTGGTCTTTTCTGCTCAGAGGCCAGGAAAGCATTAGAGAGCTGATACCATTATCAGCTCCTTATTTTCAGCTTTGAGTTTATGCAAGAGGATGATGGTGAGGACGATGATAAATGTTCTACCCAGCTTAGGATATTTCCAAACAGTTTTAAAGTCTCGTTGACTCTTGATCCCAACAACCCAAAAAGTAGCCACAGACATCCGAGGGACAGCTCAAGCCCACTGTGTGCCACCCTTCCGGTGGAGCTACCCGTGTGCCCCAGGGGGGCCTAAAGCTTTCCCTCCTCCGGTGCTTATGGAGGCGGGACTCTGAAATTCCTCTTGGAAAGCCTGTCAGGTGCCTACAACTTGGGGAATCTTCCTCACATCTGTTCTCACCATCCCTCCTGTCTGCAGCACCTAACACCTGGAGAGGTGAAGGCATTTACCCACGATCCCTCAGCAAGCCTGGGATCATAACTCCGGCCTCGTGGGAATGGCATTTCTCAGCTGCACGCAGTCAATCTCCATCCAGGTCACCAGGGGCCTGAGGGGCCGTTTCTTCATTTGATGGGCAGCTCACAGAGTGAAGGTTGGATGCGGGTGAAATGAAGCTCGGGCTGAGGGCCCTGGAGAGGGAGAGGCCTGTGTTCCCTGGGCGCTTTGCACCTCTTAATAGACAGATATTCACAAAGCATTTGTCACATGCTCAGCGCTGTCCTCTGAACTGAGGTGCTGAGTCAACCTAAAGGGAGTGTCTAGGAAGCGGCCTGGTGCAGTGGAAAGAGCCGGCGCGAGTTGGGAGACTCGCCTGGCTCTGCCAGCAGCTCCCTGGGTGGCCCGAGGCGAGGCCCTTTGCTTCCCCACACCTGCAAAATGAGCGCCAGAGGTGGTCTCTGAGGGCTTCGCCAGCTCCCACTGGCTGACAGTTCAGCCGCTCTTTCTTCTGTTCTGTAACCACTTTAGGGGGCACGGGAGTGGAGAGGATACAGATAACTGTAACTCGAGGAAGAATGAGATAAATATAACAAGAGGCCAGAACAAGTGTTCTGTGGGTTTGCTGCAGGGACGGGGCTTGGGAAAGGCTCAGTTCAGAAGCCACCTCTTCGGTGATAGGATGCGGATGCGCTGCAGATAAGGCGGTTTGGGGGTTCTGAGCCAGGCAGTCGCCGAAGCAGGCTGTCTTCCTGGGAGAGAAGGTTTCATAGCAGAGCAGCGGTCCCCGGCCTCAGATTTCAAACATCGGTACATTGGGGAGTCTGTCCTCGGTTAGCCAGCGTTCTATTTTGCCATCTAAGGACATTCAAAGGGCAGTGAGAGTTCTGTTTACTATCACTACCACATAGTGAGAGAAAGAGCATGTTAACAGTTCCATCTCCCACGGAAAGAAGGCCGTATAATATCAGGGGGGAAGTACTTCTTCAAATTGAATGCATTCTGCTTTACTAAACACTGCATTGTCCATTAATTTTGCCGTAGACGGGTGTCCTTGTGTTTGACTCGAGTCAGGCTGCTTGGGTTCGAATCCTGGCCAAGTGACTTTTTC